GACAATTTTACACCCGAATGGGTGGGAGAGATGTGTTTGATCCCTAATTGATTTACCCACCAAAGCGTAAAACGTCTAAATTTTCCGTCACACACAACAGGATCAATGAATTTAAAAAAAAAATTAAATCAATAATTATAAATAATCTTTTTCAGTCCAAAATATGTGGATTAAACAAAATTATTTTTATACTGCTAACTACAATTTTTTCCGACTGAGAGAGCACATAAAAATATAATTGTTCTATCGACTTCATGAAAACGGCATTGAAGTTCGAGATGAATTTGAGAAATCGATAATCGTGCTATACAGTACTGTAAAATCTCTTGGGTCGAAACGTAATTTATAATTCGCCAATCGAAGTTCGATTGTGTAAATATTATAAAATAAACCAATTAATTATTGTTTTTAGATTTAACGTTTACGTCAGCATGAAAACGTTTGCAATAATTTTACTTTATGATTACTCCACGGCGGATTAACTGTAGAAGTTTGAGTCCAAACTTAATTCTTTTATAACTCGCCGTTCTTTCAACTGTTTGACACTAGTTACTTTATTTTTAAAAAAATAGTAATTTATTTCCAATTATTTCCACTCAAATTGAATATTTTTTTTAGATAAACCATTCTTGATTAACGAAAATTATTACTAACAATGTGAAATTTGGAAACTTTAATTTTATTTAAAAAAAAAACAATATAAAACAGGCTAAGAAACATTCTTATTGGATAAATCGCTTGTCATCTTCTACAATGTAAATTAAAAACAAAAACGCATTAAAAAACGAAACAATTTAAATCAGAAAATTTTTCTGGATTATCATCCCAATGTGAACAATGTGACATCGATTAATCAAAGCGCAAAATTCATAATTTTTATTCAAACTGTTTCCCTCAACTTAAATAAATTCAAAATAAAACATTTTGAAATAAATAATTTTTTTAATAGGAGTGTGGCGGCTGGAAAAGTTATTTACTGTAATTTTATTGGACGAGGACATTTTATATAAATTTAACCTTAATGCCGACATGGTCAGACTGTACTCCCTTGAAACTGGACATTGTTGAAAAATAAAAAATGTGAGTGTTAATCGCGTACACTTAATGTTTATAAACTTACTAAAGAGGAAATAATTAATTGAGTAACAATTTTAAAGGAATTTATTTTTTTAAAATTATTTTATGATCACTGTAAAGTGACCAAAAAAGCTTGATATTTTGTGTGGTGTGGAGGGGAGGGGGGGGGGGGGGAGGGGAGGGAGGGGCATTACGAACAGTTTTTAAATATTTTAAAAAATGTTTAAATGTTTTTTTTAGTCAGAGGGGAATTTAATTTGTTAGTAAAGTGAAGAAAACCATAAAAGACAAATTACGGTTACATAATTTTTATATGAAAAAAAAATCTATTAATATGGTTTAAATCAGTTATTTTTATGTTTCAATTTTTCGCATTAAAATCAAAGCTTCAAAAGATACTGAAGTAGCTTCATTAAATTATGATCTTTTATTTAATATACGTTCATCGCGGCTTTAAGAAAAAAATCATTGATAAAATATATACTTTTTAAACAAGTGATAATTTTATGACTATCAAAAGGTTATATTTTCTCACATAGCATGTGCTCGCGAAAACGTATGTGCATATAATGATTCTATTATCAACATACTAATGTCCGATTTTTATTTTAGAAAAATTCATAGTAAAAATGAAAAGGCAATTTGTAAAAAAAATGTCAATTTTGGTACAGATGAAATCATCACTACTTAGTGTTTCGATAAGATAAATATGTTTTGGTTATGTTTTGCTTACATTGCTGCTTCAGTAGCACACACACACACAAATAAATAAATAAATAAATATATATATATATATATATATATATATATATATATATATATATATATATATATATATATATATGTACATATATATGTATATATATATATATATATATATATATATATATATATATATATATATATATATATATATATATATATATATATATATATATGAAAAAAGTTGAAAATCAATTAAACATCTACACACTACACAACCAGCCCTAAACAAACACATGTCCGGGATGTTTGAAGGGGGGGGGTGTTGAGGGCAGTGGTGGGCCACCAGTCCCGCCCTGACATCAGGGCTGAAGACAGAAACTCGATGTGACAACGAGGCTGAATGCAGCTGAACCTAACGGCTTCCCCCGTCACTCAGAGAACTAGGGGAGAAGCCCCAGCAATGTAATGCGATCATTTTTCTTCTCGTTCCTGCTTTGTGTGGCTGAAGTGGCCTGTATGTTTCCCTTCCAGCCAACGTTTTTTGTAGAAGCGCTAACACTTACTGAATTCCTCCGTCAGTTATATTAAAGACTTCTAATTTTTCCATAGAGTAAAATGTTTTTTGTTATGTGCATTGTTAATTTTAAAAACAGCTTGGCAATTTTTATTTGTTAAGATTAACTAAAAGTTTTGTCAAATATTTTTTTGCTATGAAATATTCTGGCACTGGATCGGATTGTTAAAAAAAAAAACCCTAATCGGTGGCCTATTTGTTAATCAGGGAGCAAGCTAACTATGCGTTTTACCATCTACTGCTGATTATAAAACAAACTTTACGTTTAGATTATGGATCTTTATAAATGACGCAAAGTGTCTTACTTTACTTTTCGGAAACAATTTTTCATCTATGGTTTCAGCGTCATTTAACAGAAAAGTTTTTACCTATTTGATGAAAGCGACGCCGTTTTAAATTATTTCTTCTTTAAAAGTGTGTGTATTAAAGTATGGTCAACTAGTATGGGAAAGCAAATGGAAAGGGATCTTTTGAGCCTTAGATTCAAATTAACGCCATAAGCGATAGAAATCAATTAACACAACCAAAATTTATTTTTAAAAAGTATACATCATGAATTTAATATAGTCATAATTTTTGCTCATGAAGCAGACATCTTTTAAAATAATTCCGTTATATTAAATATATATATTGTTTTATGTATAATATTTTTTCCCGTAAGCAACACCAAAGATCCATGTATCAAATGTTACATAATAAGTAATTCATTCGAAAAAATATGCCTGTTTAGCTATTTTTTTAAATCGATTTTTGTGTTTCTACCAGTGGCTACTCGGGAAAACCCCACCAAAAAATGCGTTTTTTGAAAAAAAAATCATTTAACAATGCTTGTTTTGCTTTAAAATAACTGGTCTTATTTTTTTTTATCTTACATAAGCAATACCGTTTAGGCGATTCCAACGAGCCTTTTTAAATATTTTAATTTCCCGAGAAAACAACAACAATATTGTATTTGAAATAAATAGAAATATTTTCTGTTTTCCATAGGTTACACTGAGACGGCGAACCTACATGTCTTTCAAATATTTTAAAATCTTCCCGATACAGAAATAACGTGTTGTATTTGAAATAAACAAATATTTTCTTTCTTTCCTAGGCATACCGAAGAGGCGCCACAAACGCGAGTCTTTTAAAATATTTAATCAACCTCTTACTAAACAATTTAATGTACTTGAAATAAATCGAACTTTTTTCTGTCTTCCATAGGCTACACCGAGGAGGCGACACCGAACGAGTCTTTACTGTCGTACCACAACGACCTGCTGGACGATGCTTTCGACAACAACCTGGACTTCCTGTTCCCCATGGATGACCAGCTGGACGAGGAGCAGGCACTGCAGCTGGGGAAACGCCCCATGCACATGCTCCGGCTCGGGAAGCGGGATGTGGGCGGAGCTGCCGATAATGACAAGCGGTCCTTGAGCAAACGCCCCATGCATATGCTGAGGCTGGGGAAGAGAGACCAAAGCGACGACGAGGCGTTGGAATCTGAGCAAGACGTCGCGAAACGCCCCATGCATATGCTGAGGTTAGGAAAACGCCCCATGCATATGCTGAGATTAGGAAAGCGCCCCATGCATATGCTGAGATTAGGCAAACGCCCCATGCATATGCTGAGATTAGGCAAGAGAGAAGACGACGATTTTGAAGAATCCTCCGACGATGAACAGTTATCGAAACGACCCATGCATATGCTGCGCCTGGGCAAAAGAGACGAAGACGATTTTGACGAGTCCGATGACGACGAACAATTGTCGAAACGACCCATGCATATGCTTCGCCTGGGCAAACGACAGGTGCATATGCTGAGATTGGGCAAACGACCAATGCATATGCTAAGGCTGGGAAAACGCTCATCGGAATAACTTGAGAACATGGGTGGGGTTGGTAAAGAAGTGGAAGTGGGTCTAGTGCGTCATTGAAATACGGACAAATACTGCAATTTTCTTTCTAAACTTTGAACATTGAAGATAACTTAAATTTATGCTGAAAATTTTGGAAGTATTTAAAAGAATTTTAGTAATAAAATGTGTATATGAATGTAACTTGAAGAATTATTTTATTTCCTTGTAGACTTGGTTAATGTAAACAGTTAATAAATCCACCCTGCTGTGTATTTAAAAACAACAACAACAACATGCATTTCTGGGGAAATCATTTGATTTGTATTGACAATTTAGTCACGTTGTAAAACAGGACTGTGTATTTAAACATCTTCCTTCAAAAGATTTAAGTCTCGATTTTTTAAATAACAAATGCCAGTGCATATTCTACGTTTATTGATACTTTAAAGCATCCCAAGAAAGCTACAAACAAAATGGAATATTCTCATGTTAACACGTTTTCTATAGCAACGTAACAAAAATTATTTCATCTTTTTAAAAAGATTGCTTAGTTTACACAATTATTACTATCCTCAAATACATCGCTATAGTAACTTAATTAAGTAAATATTACACCAGAAAAATATCTATGGAAACGATTGGAAAGCTCAGTGACCCATCACTTAGCGACCTTTAACCTCTCTACCAACCCCATGTTGTGATCCTATAATTTCAGTTTTAATTTGCTTAGAGGATATATTTCCATCCCCGCCTTCTCCAGCTAGCTTATAGTAAATAAATCAAGTTTATCAATGAAAAAACAAATACAAGATGTACTACACTATTTTTAAAATTATAAAACACGCCTACACAGTTGCGAACATTCGCGGTAATGCTGTGTGACTTAGAACCTTTTAAAAAGGTTTTTTTTTTCTTTATTACACAACAGCTGATTATAAAGCAATAAATAAAATCGGATCATCCTCTTCTATAAAAATAAAAGCCAAAATCAATTTTTGAATTGGATATTTCCAATAAGTCTGTATAATGTCATCAAAGAATTTGAAATTTCAACACTTTTTGTAAATGCATAAAACTATTGGCTGAGTAAGTACTGGCTTAATACTGAGTGCTGACAGATTTGTTTTTCAAATATTGAAATCGTTATGTTTTGACTATTAGAGTGTTTAATATTTTCATCAACCATTTTAAATCTTTTAGAATGCTTTTGAACTCAAATTATACCAATAAAACAGAAAGAGATGTTACAAGAGAACGTGTTATGGATAATCATTTTACGATTCATTTTATTGTCTTTTTAAAGCTTTATTTTTTGTTGTAATAGAAGAATGACTTTTAACCTACAAAACACCAAAAAGCGAATTTTTGTCGAGTTTCGAAAGTATGTGTGTGCATGTAAGAACCCACTTCCTGTTTTGTTTGTTTTTGTTTTTTGTTTTAATCAAAACAATGAAATGTTGCCTGCTACACAAAATACAACATGTTTCTGTTTTTGATTTAAAATAATTTAACAGATTAAAAAACAACACAAGCTAAAAATATTTGTATAGATTTAATCTAAACAATGCATATTGTGAAAGAACCACCTATGACCATGGAATACATTGAAAAAAATTCGGCAGGATCTTGAAAAAAAAACGATGTTCATAATCTATGTAAGGAAGTTTCGATAAAAAACGACAAAATATTAATTTATAACTGAGCTCAGGCTGATTGAGTTATAGTATGTTGACTTAACTTATTTTAAATGGTCAATTGGTCAACGTAAATCACTTGAAAAAAATCAACGTAACCTTAAAAGTACCACTTTACCCACTGGTAAAAATTTTAATATAACCCACTAAAAAGTATAACTTAAAGGCTCGCTTAAAAGGATTACAGTAGCACATGTAAAAGAATTACAGCAACACTTTATTTTGAAACATTAAAAAAATGAGTGAAACACAGTTAAAAGGATTACAACTGTTTATAGTGTGCATTTTATTGACAGGAATTTTCGAGTTTAAATCTCTTTGAAACAAAACATGATATCATGTCAGGAGAGTTTAAATACACTTCGTAATAACCATTTTGTAAGATTAAGGCATTACCACACACACATCATAGATATATAAATATATTTGCATATTATTTTGCAAATATATAAATACATAAATAAATAAATACATAATATATGTGTGTGTGCGTGCGCGTGTGTGTGTGTGTGTGCGTCGATAAACATAGTGAAATTTTAAAAAGGTAATCAAAAATGTATTTAAAGAAGAACCCAAAATGTTCAGCCAATCATCATTTTCCATTGGGAACGATTTCATAGAAATACAAAAAAGCGCCAATTACGATTCACAAGTTGCTAAATATTTGTTTTTTTAACCCCTTAATGCCAATACGATAATGAAATCGAGCAAATATTAGCATTTTTTAAAATCTGTATCCGTGATGTAATAGCGTGGAGTAAAAAAAACTTTGTTCAATAAATAGTTAAATATTCACATTAGTCATTGGGCGATATTATGCCTTCGAGTGTATGTGTTAGTTTATCATAGAAAATACAGATATAAGAGCAGTAAAAACAGGAATTGGGATAATATCTGTACATGCATTAAACGATATCGATTTCCCCCCCCCCCCTCTTCCTAATCGATCTAGACAATGTTTATCCTAGATTTTGGTTATCTCCTTAACGTATGACCTGCGGGGAGAATTGTAACAGGTTTTAAATACCCCATACACCGCAGCGCCGTGGGGTTCGACCAATTCCCGAGATACACACGATAAGAAAACTCGAGTAGACGTAGCTGTGGCTGATATTACCATCGATGCGCAGATATGTCAATGTATATGGAAATAACTGTCCGTGTTTATTGCAGCAATGTTAGTTTTTAGATCCAAAAGTATATATGTTGTATTTATTTTCATGGTAGATGCTCTTTACAGAAATTAATTAAAAGTAAACACTACGGGTTTCAGTTATTTGGACTAGTGGAATATTTAACACGCTAGTAAACGACTTCATTGGTCTAGACTAGCTATTGCGGTTTTTTGAAACAATTTTCACTTTCACATGATAAATTTTCCTCAGTTGTTAAATTTGTTCTTGTGTGTTAGTGTGGGGACGGCGTGGTCGGGTGGAAGAGATCATGGTTGCTAACTTCTAAAGTCCTGAGTTCGAACCCGGGCCCAACAAGGCTTAATCGCTAGGGATAGCAACCCATTTAGGAGATTTAGAAAATCTGAATTCAAACTATGACTGCCTTGCTGCTTGTTCTTGGGTAGACAGAGGCTTTGGAAGCAAATCAGAGCAGAGGCGTAGCGAAGTGGGGGGGGGGGGGGGGCAGGGGGGGGTACATATGTCCTCGGGCGTCGACCTTAGGGGCAGCCAAAATGGGTTGGAAAAACAAATTAAAATCTCATTTTAGGTGCAGCTTTGCATTATAAATATAAAAAATATATTGGGGGGGGGGGGGGGTTGCAAATGGAAAGTTTGAGGGGTGCAAATGGAAAGTATGAGGGGGGGGGGGGTGGGTGCAAATTGAAAATCGAAGGTTTGTTCCCGAGGGGGGCGCCAAATTGAAAGTTTGTCCCCGGGCGCCGGGAAGGGTCGCTACGCCTCTGAATCAGAGCGAAAAGCAGGCCAGGCCGAAGAAAAAATCAACTTGTCGTTTGGCTCATAACATGTTGACGTGGGTACTCGTCTGTTTTGGAGGAAATCGCCTATTGTGTATTACAAACATGAAAGAAGAAGTCGTAATTTTAAGTGCGTCTTCAAAAGATACTTTGCTTCGGTTGCAGGGGGGTGGACTAAAGGGATGAAACACCCCATAAAAGCGAGAAAGAAGAAATATTTTGAATGTAGAGCTTGCGGCGTAGATAATTAACAGAGTTTGTTGAGCTAACTTTTGGATAGATTGTAACCAAGCTATGGATTATGCGTAGTGACAAATAGTGATGTGATAGACACAGGATGTCACCAATGTGGTCATCCAGCTATAGTGTGGCCTGTTAAAATAACTGCAATGTTCATGGATTGTTTTTCCATACAATCAAACGACACTCAATACTAGCCTTTACAATTTGCAAGTAGTCTAGATCTACATAGCATGGACTCCATAGAAGAAAAACGCTTTATAAACAAACAAAAACTAAACCGAAAAATGAAATTAAAAAATGAGTGTATAATTAACGATCCCGAATTTTAAAAATAGTGTAAAGAATTATGTAAGAAGATTAAACAAATAAACAAATGACTTTATTACAGTATCCCGACTCATTACAATAGAGTACTAAGTGTTATTACAAATGTACATTGCATCAACTAAAAGTGGACATACATTTTTTGTTTTTTATACTGGCCATATGTACATGTATCTGGAACAATGCTAGGATTATTTTAGGGCGTATTCATGACGTAATACTCTACCGTCTGCCGATGACGTAGAACACAGAGTACGAACTAGCGTGACGCAACGCGTGACGTAGGATGTATTGACGTTAGCGAGGCTACAAGTAACGGTCATTCATCAAGAAGGCGGTGACGGAACTAATTCAAGGTTTAAATTGTTGCTGCTGGGTTTACGAGTGGGATGTGGAGGGGTGAGTTAGGGGAGGGGGGGGGGTACACACAAAATCCCCCCCCCCCCACATACCCTTCGCAGTTAACCCGGGGGCACTTCTTAGCGTGCGGCTAAACTCTAACGACCCAGCCATCACGTATTGTACAGGCTTTGTTCCCCCTGCAATCAATGGGTGCTCACAAATTATCGCATGAAAGATTGCCGCTTTATTTTAGGGCCTCGTTATTGGCGCACGTAGTACTGAGTATGAACGACATTTGCTGCGGAGCATGGACATTCTCTGGATGATGGACATTTGCCACAGGTAGACCCATGCGGAGTATGGACATTTATAGGCAGAATATGGACATTTATTTAGACAATCGACATTTTGTGAACGTTTACATAGAACAAGGGCATTTAATGAAATAATCATCGTCAATATATTCTTTGAGTACTTTAGTTAAGTGCTTTAACAACTAAACATTTCTGGTGAAATAGACGAAATCATATGGCACATATTCAAACATTAAAACACAGATAACCAAATAGACATTGGATCTGTAGGAAAACAAAAAGACAAGAGAGTTACAAAGTGGGGCGGTGTGTGTGTGTGGTCATCTAGCGGTAGCGCACAATACCGCTAACCCGAATGTCTCAAGTTCGAATCCCGGTTCCAACAGCTGTGATGGGTATCTAACTAAAGTTAGGGAAACTATGTGACTAAGCATAGTGCTGACCACAGTATCCCATTGTATGCCGAGGTCAATGAAACAGATCAACTCTACTTCATCTGCCCCCATGTGTCTTTGGCACAAACGGGAAAAGAGGTGATGATGTATGTGATTAGCAGCATGACCGGCCAACTTAATATTTTTACTCTCCCCAACTTGGTCCTAATTGGGGTGTCTTTATCTCTCGGTTAGCAACCGAGCTAGGAGGTAGCAACTAGCGCTCTATTCCTCCCGTCCCCCATCTTCCACGTATGCTATTAAACCTCGATTGTAAAACTAATTCCAACCCGAAACCTACTTCGAAAATTTCATAAATTCCTATTCAATTCATAACCTTAACCTTTAAACACATTAACCCACTCCAGAGGCGTAGTGAAGGGAGGCGGGTGGGTACATTTGTCCCAGGGCGCCGACCCTAGAGGCGTCAAAACGGGTTGAAAAAAAATTAAAAGCTCATTTGAGCTGCATTTTTGAATTATAAACATAAAAAATTATGGGGGGGGGGGGGGGCAAAAT